TCATTTTTTCCAGATCCCCTTTTGTTGCCAGTTCAGTGGGTCCAGGTGGTTGAGTATCAGAGTGTTCCATCTCATTTCCCTTTGGGGTTGCTTTAGGTGATCTGGAAGTCTGGTTTTGAGACTTATTTATGTGTTTTCTCATTTCTACTCGGGGGGCTGTTGGCACCTGCACGGATTACCTCCTCTGACCTGGGAGAGGTGGGACAGGGGCCGGGAGCAGTGGTAGGGATGGTGGCCCAAAAGCCCTTTCCTGTGGGCTGGGAGCAGTGGGAGGGATGGTGGCCTGGAAGCCCCTTCCTCTGGCCCAGGAGTGGCGGAACAGAAGGTGACCCAAAAGCCCTTTCCTCTGGGCTGGGAGCAGCGGGAAGGATGGTGGCCATTAAGCCCCTTCCTCTGGACCAGGAGCAGTGGGATGGCAGCTCAGAAGCCTCTATCTCTGGGCCGGGAGCAGTGGGACTCAGTACCATGGTCTGATGGCCCGGTGTCCTCTGTGTCTTTGTAGTGTGGCGCCAGGTGGCTGTACAGAGGAGCGGGGGGGGAGGGGGTGTCCAGTGGATTGTTGCTGGGGTGTGGGCTGATTCGGTGTGTTCCATGTGACTTGCCACCTTGGTAGGATGTGTGCAGGCCTGCCTGTCTGCAGCAGGCTGATTCGGTCTGTTCTGTTCCGCACGACTCCTCTATTTTTCTTTTTTTTTTTTAACTTAAATGAATGCTATTTATTTAAAATCTACAAACCAAAAATAAATACACATTAATTTTTCCAGATTCAGTATGATATATAAAGCTCATATTTATACCAGCTCCTTTGAAACATGGGGCAGGACTTCCAGGAGAATGAATTGTAAAAGACAAAGTAGATTGACAATGCATAAATTGCAGTTTTAATTGATATTCATAATATCTACATTTTTTCAGGTTTTTCAGAATTTAAAAGGATATAGAAAGCATATTACAAAAATCATTTTTGAAATAAATTTGACAACTTCTAAGAAGTACCTTGGAAAACAAATTAATGAAACCAACTCTGGAGGAAATACCAAATTTGGACAACACCTAGTAAAGAAAGTATATTCCTATCTTGAAAACCTACCTATATGAGAACAACAGGCATATATACATTTTAACTGTTAAATTATATCAAACATTTAAAGCAGTAAAAAGAAGAAACACTTCTCTTATTTTAGGAAATCAACATTGTGCTAATCTTAAAACTTGATAAAGATAATAGAAGAAAAACGTATAAACATAGATAGAAATTTGTTTAAGAAAACAAACTATTAGAAGACAGATCTGGCAGTGTGTAGAAAGTGGTTTTATTATAGGGATGGCAGTGTTTGTTCAGCATTGGAAGTTCCATCCCCAAATGTCATCATTTTAACAGAGGAAAGGAAAAAACCATATGATCCCTGTCACTAGGTGGAGAAAAAATATTGGACTGAATTCTACAGCTATTCATGGTAAAAGCCATCAGGAGACTAGAAGTAGAACAGAACCTTCTCAACAGATCAAAGACATGTACTCCATACTTACAGCAAAAACGCCTTATATGAATGGAGGAGATACAATGCTTTCTCCTTAAGGTGGGGAACAAGGGCAGATATGCCTACTATTCATCTGTCCATTAAACTATGAAACATAACCCCAAACCAATGTAGTCTGGAAATAAAAATAAACAAATAGCATAGGATTGTCAAGGCAGAAGCAAAATCTTTATATGCAGATAAAATGATCATCTACAGAGAAAATACTAAGAAATCTCTAAGAGCTCCTAGAACTTGTATTGAATTTAGCATGATTAGAAAACACAAAGTATACATAAAAATTCAGGTCTATGTATACTTGCTATAGATAAAGAATTGGATATTGAAATTTAAAAGTTATGTAGGAGTAAAAAGGACCTAGAAAAGTAAAAAAAAAAAAAAAAGCAGTTTTGGAAGATATTTAGTACCTAATTTTAAGACTTCCTCCAAAACTACAGTAATCAAGGCAGTGTTGGTGTAAGGAAAGACATATAGATCACTGGAATAAAACAGAGAATCTAGAAATAGAACCACACATATATGGTCCACTGAGTTTTGAAAGATTATTTAACATTAACATTTTATAGAACATAAACTCAATTCAAGAGCAGAGGAATAAATAGTGATTTCAGCAAATGGTACTAGAACACCTGGTATCCATATATAAGAAATTAACCTCAACTCTTTATTTCCATACATAAAAATAACTTGAAAGCATCTATGAACCTAAATATGAAAGACTAAAACTATAAAACTTTAAGAAGAAATTATAATGGAAAATGTTTATAAATTTAGGGTAGGAAAGTATTTCCTAGGATATAAAAAACATGATGTATAAAACAAAAAAATTGATAAATGAGATTCTATCAAAATTTAGAACTTTAAATGACATCATTAAAATGAAAAGTAGTTCTTAAGCAGATCATATTTTTAATGTATATAACCTATGACCAGAATATATAAAGAACTCTTACAGCTCATTAATAGACAACCCAATAAAAAAGTAGACACAAGAAGTTGATAAACAGCCAGTACAGCACAAGGAAAAGTGTGCAACACTAGAATCAAAAAAATACTAATCAATAAAATAACAAGATTGAATTATACACTCATTAGGGAGATGAAGTTGAAAGTTTTAAAAGAACAAATGTCAGTTTAGTTGTGAACCAGTTAGAACTTTCTAATACTGCTAATATGAATGTAAAATGATAACACCATTTTGGAAAACAATTTAGAAATTTCTTGTATTACTGTTAAGAACCAATAGTACTGTTCTTAAATTTTTACTTGAGAGGAATGAAAATACATGTTCACAACAGATTTGCACATACAAGTTGAGTATCCCTTACCTGAAATTATTGGAATCAAAGTGTTTCAGATTTTCATTTGAAATCCACTTGATTTGGAAAGAGGATAGCTACTACTGCTTTTTTGGGGGGTTTCTGTTGCAAGGATTATTATTTTCCATGCTTTAAGTTTCAGTCTATGAGTTTATTTTTGAATTAAATGTGTTTCTTGTATGCAGCATATTGTTGGATCTTGATTCTTGACCCATTCTGCCAGTTTATTTCCTTTGATTGGTGAATTGAGACCATCAACATTGATGGTGATAACTCATATATATTGACTTGTCATTGTCATGTCTTTTTCTGTTTGTTGGATTCTCACCCTTTCTTGTTGTGCTTG